CACAATTTTTCTTTTGAACAAAGTATTCATCATAATTGCAAATATCATGCATGACTTTATTGAACAAATGGAGTTGCATTCAACATCGCGCTCGAAAATGAACATCAAAGTACAGAGAAGTTGGGATAAAATAATCTTCCAGAAGATTCTTACCCGGAGAATGTCTATGTCTGTCCACATTCGGGCCACGGCCTTCTCGTGAACTACGGTGGCTCTGGTTTTCTTCATCAAGCAAAGCCACTGTTGTGACAATTTGCTGATCTAGTTCTCTCTGCGCCCTTTTGCCTGCAGCTCGTCTACGCCTTCTTTCTCTAGTTTCTCGCTCTTGCCTCTCCAAGACCTCGTTCATGTCTGCCATTGAGAATAGAGTATGAATTCTAAAATATGAGAAATGAAAATATAGAGAAGATCTGGTGTGAGAGATATGAGCTGAGCCTCTGGTTTTATAGAAAAATTTAGACTGATAGAGATGACACGTGGCACAATTTTAGAGGGTGAAAATCTTATTTGAAATTTGAAATTCAGATGAAATTTATCTGAAATTTGAAACCGAAAATCTTATTCGAAAATTTTATCCGATTATGAGATATGAATTTTATAATAAATATTGACAAGTACGAACCCAAAAATCTTATTAAAAAATATTGTCCAAATTAATTGTTTAGTAAAACAAATTTGTGAAAAAAAATAAAAAAATGAGTAGTGTTTGCCCTTTGGCATGGCAACTACTGGAAACACACATTGCTTTTTGCAAGGACAGCTACTATTCATGTGAATAGTAGCTGCCTTAGCCCCCCCTTGCCATGGCAAGGGGTTAAGAGCATCTCCACCCATAAGGGCCAAGTCTAGGACAAGGGCAAGCAAGGGCTGCCACTATTCATGTGAATAGTGTCAGCCTTTGCATTTGTGCTTCCACCCATGAGGGCTAAGTCTAGGGCAAGTCTAAGGCAAATACTATTCATTGTACTTTATTTCCTTTTTTTTTTTTATACTTTAAACCATTAATTTTGATAATCTTTCGTAATTAAATTTTCGGATAAGATTTTTGGTTGTCACGTGTCCATTATTTTTCAGAAAAGATTTTCGGATGAGAATCTCGGTTGCCACGTGTGTTATTCCAGATAAAATTTTCGGATATTCATTAAAAAAAATTATAATCTCAGATTCATATAAGAATTTCACCCTCTAAAATTGTGTCACGTGTCCCATGTCAGATAAGATTTTCATATATTTTTTTTAAAATTATAATCTCAGATTTTAGATAAGATTTTCATCCTCTGAAATTGTGCCACGTGTCCCATGTCAGATAAGATTTTCATATATGTTTTAATTCATTGTACTTTATTTCATATTTTTTTTTATACTTTAAACCATTAATTTTGATAATCTTTTGTAATTAAATTTTCGGAAAAGATTTTTGGTTGTCATGTGTCCATTATTTTTCAAACAAGATTTTCGGATGAGAATCTCGGTTGCCACGTGTCTTATTCCAGATAAAATTTTCGGATATTCATTAAAAAAAAATTATAATCTCAGATTTCATATAAGAATTTCACCCTCTAAAATTGTGTCACGTGTCCCATGTCAGATAAGATTTTCATATATTTAAAAAAAATATATAATCTCATATTTTAGATAAGATTTTCATCCTCTAAAATTGTGCCACGTGTCCCATGTCAGATAATATTTTCAGATATGTTTAAAAAAATTATAATCTCAGATTTCTGATAAGATTTTCACCCTCTAAATTTGTGCCACGTGTCATCTCTATCTTCTGAATCCCTCTATAAAACTACACCATCAACTCATACCTCTCACACCATCTCTTATCTATTCCTTGATTTCTCATATTTTACAAAACACTTTCTACTCTCAATGTCAAACTTGAGGAGGGTGTTGGAGAGGCAACAGAAAGAAAGGGAAGAAATCCGGCGTAGATGTGCTGAAGAAGATCGAGACGCCGATGAAGAAGAGGAACAAATGCTTGCAGCAGCGGTGTGTATGCTTAATCAATCAAGGCAACACCGTCGTCGTGCCCCGAATGTGGACAGACGTAGGGAGTCTCGGGGGAAGAATCTCTTGGAGGATTACTTTATCCCAAATTCCTTATATCCTGTTTCTAAGTTTCGAGAGAGATATAGAATGCAGCCACAGTTGTTCCAAAAAATCATGTATGATATTTGTAATTACGACACATACTTCATTCAAAAGCATGATGCTGTTGGAGTTTTGGGTCTTATCCCGAAGCAAAAACTTACAGCTGCTTTGTGGATGCTTGCTTATGGGGCATCTGCAGAGCAGGTGGATGAGATTGTAAGAATGGGAAAATCTACTATCCTAGAGTCCTTGGTGAGATTTTGTAACGTAGTGGAAAATTTGTACACGAGGGAGTACCTTCGCAAACCCACGCCGAGGGACCTGCAAAGGCTTCTAAAAAAAGGTGAGGATCAAGGTTTCCCAGGAATGATTGGAAGCATCAATTGCATGCATTGACAGTGGAAGAATTTGAGGATCGAGGTTTCCCAGGAATGATTGGAAGCATCAATTGCATGCATTGGCAGTGAAAGAATTGTCCTACTGCTTGGCAAGGAGAGTACGGGAATCAGAAGGGGCAAAAAAGTATAATTTTGGAGGCCATAGCTTCATTCGACACTTGGGTTTCGCATGCCTTCTTCGGGGTTGCCAGATCTCAGAATGACCTCAATGTCTTTGGTCAATCCCCGGTGTTCGACGAGGTATTGCGAGGTCATTCCCCCCAGGTCACGTACCAAATCAACAATACCGTATACTCTGGTGCGTACTACCTTGCCGACGGAATTTATCCTAGGTGGACGACATTCATGAAAACAATTTCGAATCCTTAATCCGAGAAGGAAAGAAGCTTTGCTTCCTTTCAAGAAGGTTACAGGAAAGACATGGAGAGGTGTTTTGAAGGTTATAGGAAAGACGTGGAAAGGTGTTTCGGTATCTTGCAAGCTCGTTGGGCAATTATTAGGGGTGCTGCTTGGATGCTTGATGAGGAGGTGCTGCGGAGCATTATGATGACTTACATCATCCTCCGTAACATGATTGTGGAGGATGAGTATGATTATGATGCTCTAGAGGTGTTTGAACCTGATCCCATGAACACGGCGTTGACAAGAATATATGAAAGGCCGATGGGACCAAATGGACTACCAATGGAGCCCGATCCGTTACTTCGGGATGGTCAATTCAACAACCCCAGGATTGATCGTTATCAAGAAATGCAATCTTCATATGTTCACGATAGACGTCAAGTTGACTTGATCGAGCACTTGTGGGAGAGGAAAGGCAATCACAATGGATGAAGTCAAGATTAGTGCTTTGTTTGGAATTATGCTTTGTTTTTAATTATGCTTTTAATTATGCTTTGTTTTGTGTGTTGTTTGTAATAAATTAAGGGTTGTTTTTAATTAAACTTTGTTTTATGGTTTGTTTTGTGTGTTGTTTGCAATAAATTAAGGTGTGTTTTTAATTAATCTTTGTGTTGATGCTCAAAGGTTTTTAATAAATAGTCATATTATTTAATGCTTTGTTTATTGAATAAAAAGGAAATAATACAACAAATTAAAGGATAATACAACAACACAACAAATTAAAGGATAATACAACAACACAACAAATTAAAGGATAATACAACAATACAACA